GAGGACGTGGCGGCTGGGCCCGGGGCGGCGGCGAGGAACCCCAACGATGCTGCTGTGCTACCGCCGCTGCTGCTGCCTCCCGTCCTGCTCCCCACCCATTCGGCTGAGGATTTGGCGGGGCAGCGGCCAGGCCGGGGGCGGCAGCGAGGAACCCCAACGATGCTGCCGGGCCGCCGCCGCTGCCTCCCGTCCTGCTCCCCCTCCCCGCCCCTTTGGCTGAGGATGCGGCGGCCGGGCCAGGGGCGGCGGCGAGAAACCCCAATGATGCTGCGGTGCTACCGCCGCTGCCGCTGCCTCCCATCCTGCTCCCTGCCCGTTCGGCTGAGGATTTGGTGGGGCGGCGGCCGGCTGGGGGCGGTGGCGAGGAATCCCAACGATGCTGCCGGGCTGCTGCCGCCAGAACCGCTGCCTCCCATCCTACTCCCCCTCCCCACCCATTCAGCTGAGGACGTGCACAGGCTGGGGGCGGCGGGGACCCCCGACGATACTGCCGTAAGAGAGAGAAAGAGAGAGAGGGGGAGAGGAAAAAGAAAAAGTGGAAAGAGGAAAAGAGAGAGAGAGAGAAGAGAGAGAATGAGAAGAGAGAGAGGAAAGAGAGAAAGAGAGAGAGGAAAGAGAGAGAGAGGAAAGAGAAAGAAAGAAAGAAAGAGAGAAGGAAAGAGAGAGGGAGAGAGGAAAGAAAGAGGGGGAGAGGAAAGAGGAAAGAGAAAGAGAGAGAGGGAGAGGAAAGAGAGGAAGAGGAGTGAGGGAGAGGGGAAAGAGGAAAGAGAAAGAGAGAGAGGAAAGAGAGAGGGGAGGAAAGATAGAAAGAGAAAGAGAGGAAAGAGAAAGAGGGAGAGGAAAGAGAAAGAGAGGGAGGTGAAAGAAAGAGAGAGGAAAGATAGAAAGAGAAAGAGAGGAAAGAGAANTATTTACATTGCGATTCATAACGTAGCAAAATTACAGTTATGAAATAGCAATGAAAATAATTTTATGGTTGGGGGTCACCACAACATGGTGGCCACGCCCACTTGGTGGCCACACCCACTTGGCCACGCCCCTGGCACCCGGCGATGTATAAGTGGTTGGGGGTCACCACAACATGGGGAACTGTATTATGGGGTCGCGGCATTAGAAAGGTTGAGAACCACTGTTCTAGGACATTCCGGATTTGCCTTACTAACATCTTGCTCACTGAGAGGATAAAATGCACAACAGGATTAGCTATCTCTGACATGGTATTAATAGGAAAACCTTAGTCAAGAATGTAAAAGGAGCAGAAATATGGGATAAAGTGGCTACCAACTGGAGTGTAACAAGTTTCAGTCCTGGGCCTGTATATGACTCAGAACCACCATGATAAAGTAAAAAAAAAAAAGAGCTGAATTAGTACTTCTAATGTTTTAGTCATTCTCTTGCTGCTGGTTGGCCTCTTCTTTCTTTCCACCTTTCCAAGCATTCAAGCCTTCTTTAGAAAGCTATATATCCAAAGAAGGATAATTTGAACTTGGTCTTTTGTCCCTTAAATGAGAAATCTGGGTTAATGGGATTAACCAACAATCCATTCATATGTTTTCTCGGCTGTCCATGGTATCCTCAATCTCCGGTATTCTCCAATATGAAAGTTCAAGAGTGTCATGTCCATCCTATACTGCTCTTCAAAATATTTGCTACTATAGAATGTCATAAGAAATACCATCACTTGCATAATTCTGCAATTTTGTAGGTATCTCTTTTGCTGTCAAAACACTGCACAGATGCTTTCCTGAGAAATGAAAAACCAGCTTTCATATAGTGGTGGGAAGGGAGAAAAAGAGACACAATTTCAGCCCCAGACGTGAGAAATGAATATGACTAGCTTCTGTAGACCTGATCTTCACCACTGGTAGAGCTTCTTCCAAATCTGAAATGAAAGCAACTTATCTATTTTCACCTCAACCTTGAATCATCCCATGTGTTTGTGTTCCTAGAGATATATTTAGCGTCATGTCATGATGAAACTGAAAACCACAGGATTAGAAATTAAAGTCCTATGAAGAAATTAAGAATGGTTAACCTTGAGGAGATTAAGAAGGATGTGATGTCACTCTTCAAATCCCTAGAAGGATATCTTACAGCAGGTCAAGGCCTGTTCTCCATTGTTCTAGAATGCAGAATAGGGAATGATGGATTTAAATCATATGAAAGCAGATTTTGACTGAATAATCCAATAAGCTTTCTAACAATAAGAACAATGAATTGGTGGTGAATTCTCCTTTGCTCCATGGCAGAAGTCAAGGTTAAATAACCATCTGTGTTTAGATGCCTTTAGTAAGAAATTTGAGTTATATAATTTAAATGCTCAGTTCCATCTGTTACAATTTTGTTACAGGTGAGAAAGAGATAGAACTAGTCTGGGAAAGTGACTCATCTGGATTTGGCTTCAAAATATTTTTTAATAATTAGCAACCATGTAGTTAGGTGGACAACCAAATGTCTTTCAGATAGTTTGGGCTTCATATCCCATTATCCCAAGCAACATTACCAATACTACAGATTGTATTGTGCTCCCAAATATTCTAGTGCTTCCAAGCCTATTCCTGCTCTGTGACCCTCTTCTAATAATGATGCCTGAAATACTCTGATTAGCCAGGGGCAAATTGTTACCTCTTTATCTCTGTTGCTCACCAGATACTAATCCTGAAGCTCCTTATACCCCTAAAGCAAGCACTCCCTCGCTGAGTCAGAATGCCACATTAGTTTTGGCCTTCTGGGGGAGTGTATTGTGAAAAAGGTGTAAGGTGAGGACAAAAAATAAAATAACCACTTTAGTTCAATGATTGCTATATTGAAATATTTTTTCCTCTGCCACCAGTGGAACCCTATGAAATAAATCTATTTGTCACTCTCATTTGATTTTATCGTTTTCGCTGTGAAAGGGTTCAGGTTTTTTCTTTTCCTAAATCAAAGATCAGTAGCTTAATAGGTGGAGGAAATCCTGTCTTTTACTTACTTAGGAATAAAACCTATTGAACTCAATAGATCTACCGCTGATGGAAGCATGACTGTAGCTTATATTTTACTTGTTGAGAACTACGGGTTTTCCTAAATGTAAACAATTAGCGGAATTAATTTGAATCCCCACATTCATCTTGGAAGAACTACATGGAAGGGGTTTATGGATCCCAGGCTATTGCTGGTTGGCTGTCTTTGAACTCGCAATCAACCTACCCTGGTTATCGGATCTAGATCCAATACTAGGCTCAATCAACAACTGAGGATCAGAGAGGGCTTTTTATCGACCTGAACTCATCAAGCCATCTGATCCGAGAAGGCATGAAAGGTGATGGTGATTTCGCTCAGAGCTTCTCCTGGGCTTTTGATCTCCCCTCAGTGGTGGTTCACCAGCCGCTTCAGCACTGGCCAATTAAAAAAAAAACCTTTCCGAGGAGGCTGGAAAATACTTTGAACGTGATAAAACTTCAGAGATAGAAGCGAGTAAGAGAAGTGAAGTGATTCGCGTGGCTGCTTCCCTTTTGCAAATTCCAAAGAAGGGGTCCTTGATGCTCTCGGAGCTTGTTTGTTTCCTTGCAGACGTTTCATTACCCTAACTAGGTAAAGTCAGTGCTGATGATGCTACCTAGTTAGGGTAATGAAACGTCTGCAAGGAAACAAACAAGCTCCGAGAGCACCAAGGACCCCCTCACTGCAACCCTGAGCTACAAATATTCTCCTTCAAATTCCAAAGAGCCATTCGCCCTTTTCCCCCTAAGCTGCGATTATACCAAACGGCGGTCTCTCGCCTTTCCTCCGGCTTCGAAGCAGCATATCAAAGAGCCATTAGGGCGCCCCGCCCCTGCCGGTTCCTTTCTTGGGTGTGTGTGTGTGTCTGGAAATCGCGCCCCTCGGTGAGGACGTCGGAGGCCTCGGTGGAAATAGGAGGATAATGAAACATCAAGGGGAAATATCCAGCTGTTACCCATTCACAGCCCCGTTAGATGATTACATTCTGTAACTAAAATATCGATTTAAAAAGAAAGCCGGGGAAGGGTTGTCTCTCCTCGGCTAAAGACTTAAGAGCTTCAATCCTCAAAACTCACCATCTACGTGTTATCCCAACCAGAGGAGTTTATGCTTTCTCCCCCCGCAGCATTTTTGGAATAAAATATAGTACGGAGCCCCTCCAACTTTTATGGAGTAAAATACAGTAGGGAGCCCATTCAAAGTTCTTTAGACTCTCCGGAGAGCAGATCTATTCAGGCTTTCGGGGGATTCATTAATTCCCTTTTATTGGAATAAACCCACCTAGGATGGAACTGCAAGAATGGCAAAGGGGAAGGAATAAGATCCGTCCGAAAGCGTCGTTTCTCCTCCTAACATCTTAGGCGCCTCGACTCTCCCCATCCCGATTGGGTGAGGACGCGGGAGCCCCAAATTACTCCGAAACTACTCCTAGAGAACTCCGGTTGCGATTCGTCCCAAAAGAGAAAGAGGCAACGGGGTGGGGTTGTTGTTTTTTTTGCTCCGATTCTCTACTCCCCTTCTGTGGGGCAACCAAAGCAACAGAGGGTAGGACAGACCTCCCCCTCCCCTCCCGCTTTTGCAAGCAGAGCGTGCCTCAAATATGCGAGTGGGAGATCCACGCAGGAGCTCCTCTCGCACGGAAACTACTCGCATGATAGTAACGAAGTCGTACCAACTGTTTGGAGAACCATTCATTTATTCCCCCCCCGCGCGCGCACACACACACACACATACAAATCCCGAACGCCCAATGAGCCCGTGACTTTGCGGAGAATGTCCCGTAGCTTTCCCCACCTCCACCCCCACCCCCCGTTTTATAACCCCACCCTCGCTTATCCTGCGCGCCCTCCTCCCTCTTCCCCCCCCCTTCGAGAGGCGGGAATCCGAAAGGCGTCGAGCCTATAAAGGCAGCGCCAAAACCGCCAAGCTGAGAGTCTCCACTTGGTTGCAGGTCCCTGAAGGATACGCGTCTCCGCCTTCCTCCCGCAGGTTGCCTCGTCGGGCTCGCCTTTGCGAAGATGCTCGCCCTGCGTGGCCGCGGAGCGTGCCGGGCGTGGGCGGCCGTGGTGGTGGCGCTCTGCTTCCCCGCCTGGTTTGGAACCGCCGCCGCCGCCGCCGCCGCCGCCGGCCTCCCTTTCAATTCGAACGGACTGGGCTCGAACTCCATCAAGAACCCGCTCTCCGGCGGCTCCTCGCTTAGCGGCGGGAGCGGGGTAATGTACGACGGCAGCAATAAAAGCCGTGCCGGCGATTCACAGAAAGTAGGTCGGTTGGGCGGGGAGGGGGCTGGCCAGGGCAAGGTGAGACACCGCGGCTTGCGTCTCACCTGCTCCTCCGCTTCTGTCCTCTCGCAGCTTGTCTTGTGCGCCGCGGACGAGGATTGCAAAGCCGAAGAGTTTTGCTCCACCCCTGCTCGGGGGGGCGTCTCCGGAGGAGGAGGAGGAGGAGGAGGACTGGTTTGTCTGACCTGCCGCAAACGCCGCAAGCGCTGCTTCCGCGACGCCATGTGCTGTTCGGGCAACTTTTGCAACAACGGTGCGTTCGAGGGTCCCGGGAGGAGAAGGTGGGGGGGGAGGCAAACGGAGCCTTCAAACGTTTTAAAAATCCGAGAAAGGAACTTCTCCAGCATCACCCTGGCATCTCCCTGCCATCCGAAGAATTCTTCGTTCTTTTGAGAAGGCCTTCGTGGGTCCTCAAAGGGTATGGAGATCGGGTCCCTCAAGTTTTCTCCTCTCTTGCCTGGACATCTCCATGTAGTAGTGCTTTGTGGCTTCCTGATGGAATGGACTGGCCATCGTTCTTCTGAGATTCCTGGCCTAGTATGCACTCCTGGGGGGGGCTCTTGAACCCTGATTCTAACCTAGAAGGGTTTGGTATTTTTGAGATCACCCATAGTGGATTGTGTAGTCTCATAGGGTTAGAAGTAAAGGGACTCCTCTTGCATCTGTCCATGGAGAGTTTTGTGGATTTGTTTTTAAGGCCAAGGGATATTGGCAAAAACCAAAAGGGGTTAGGTTGTAAATTCTAAGCATCCTTACTTTGGAATAAAGGAAAACTAGTCAGAATAGAGCTGGAAGGGACCTTGGAGGTCTTCTAGTCCAATCCCCTGCTCAAGCAGGAGATCTATACCATTTCAGACAAGTGGGTGTCTGTCTTAAAAGCCTCCAGTGATGAAGCACCCACAATTTCTGAAGGCAAACTATTCCACTGGTTAATTTTTCTCACTGTTAGGAAGTTTCAGATTGCTTCTCTTTGTATTGTGTTAATAGAAGGTGTATTACTCAGTATTCTGGAATCCATTGTACAAGGAACGAGACATGCTATTTTTTGCCTTGTTTAGGAAGGGCTATTAAGAGTTCTGCAATTTTAAAGAAGCAAACATTATTAAATAACTTCCTTGCATACAGTTTAATAATCTCTTTTCTCTGCATGAGCCAAGTACCTACTGAACATATTAACTAGCATCTTTTTTTCATCAATGGCTGTTCAAATTTAATAAAACTCCAAGCAGAACCTGGATATTTTTCCTGCAACATATTACTAAGCTATACCCTTTTTCTGAGGCTATCCTAGTATCTCAAGTCAAGCTTTAAAAGAATCTAATTATCTAATAATCACATTAGTGCTTGGATACACTCCTTGCTGATACTCATTTGGGCTCCAATGCTAAGAGAAATTCCTATTTTAACAGAGAAAACTTAAAAAGAGATCTGCACCAAGTCGTTTACGTGGTTTGGATTCAGAATGAATCTTTTCTATGATCTGTAGATAGTTTCTGCCTAAGTGAATAATCTGCAGTCCTCTAGAATTTGAATAGTCAGTATCCAGAATATTAACATTTTTTTTAATCCTTGGGAAGTTGACAGGTGTTCATGATTTCCCCCCCTCTTTTATCAGGTATGTGTGTAGAATTTGACCACTTTCATCCTGGAAGGTTTGAAGAGATCATCACAGAAAGTTTTGACCATGGTACTTTGGACTCCCATCTGAAAAGGACCACGACTTCATCCCAAATGTATCACATAAAAGGTAAGGCCAATAACGCAGTGCTTTTAAATCCAGAAAAGAATAAACATTATTGTCACTGAAACGTATTTCAGTGCTGAAAGAATGTGCTTGGTTTTGGGTTGATCCAAGCAAGCCTGGACTCCATAAAATGACAGCTGTTAGAGGACTCTGAATACCTTTTGGAAAGCAATGCTGGTAGCCCTCAACGTACGACCACAATTTGAGCCCAAAATTTCTGTTGCTAAGCGAGACAGTTAAATGAGTTTTGTGCCACTTTCCGACCTTTCTTGCCACATTTGTTAAGTGAATCACTGCAGTGAAGTTAGCAATACTTTGCTTGTCAGAAGGTCGCAAAAGGCAATCACATGACCCCGGGACACTGCAACCCGTCATAAATATGAGTCACTTGCCAAGCGGCTGAATTTTGATCACCTGACCATGTGGATGCTGCAACAGTTATAAGTGTGAAAAATGGTCACAGCTTACTTTTTTCAGTGCTGTTGTAACTTTGAATGGTCAATAAACTGTGGTAAGTCAAGGGTTACCTGTACATGTTCAATTGCTATTAGGAAGACTTTTAAAGACTTTGTGGATATGCTTCTTAGTTTCTGCTTCAAACTCGTACAATTTTGTGAGCTTCAGTTATTTAGATTGGTTTTCAATGTCTGCTCTTTTTTTTCAGCCTTTTATTTGCCTAGTTCGGTGGGGTGCTTTTTCCAATGTAGTTTTCCTTGCAGTGAACAATGTAGTATGAATATGAATAGATCACTTCTCATAATAATACTGTTTAGCTAGAGAATATAATCTTGCTTGTTCGCTTACATAGCTTGCAGGGGTCTACTCCTGTTTGCTAGGAGAGCTTAAATATTTGACACAGGACCAAAGGGTGTTGCGGGTACATATAGCTTGATAACCTGTGGCAACATGTACAGCATGCTCACACTAATTATTTCACCCCTGTGGTTGATGCCAATAGTAGATACCAATAATAGCAATTCAGGCTTTCTATCAAATGACCCCAAATCTATTATATTAGTTTGGCCTTCTCCATCTTTGTGCTTCATAAGTGTGTCAGATCACTACTCCTATTGCCTTTCCTTGCTTTGGCTGCTGGAATTATAATGGGAAGAGCATCAGCTTAGGGCAGGATTTCAAGTTACCTCAGTACGAAATGAGATTGTAAAGAAATGTTCTGTATTATTTTACTCTCTCTCTTTCCTAAGGCCAAGAAGGAGCTGTATGTCTCCGTTCCTCAGACTGCACTGAAGGACTCTGTTGCGCCCGTCACTTCTGGTCCAAGATTTGCAAACCTGTCCTTAAGGAAGGTCAGGTGTGTACAAAGCACCACAAAAAAGGCTCTCATGGTTTGGAACTCTTCCAGAGGTGTTACTGTGGGGACGGACTGACTTGTCGGCTGCAAAAAGATCACACTCTCAGCAATTCTTCACGACTACATACTTGCCAGAGACATTAGCAGTGTTCGCTTTCTCCTAATCCTGATGGACTCAGAGGGACTTTCATGAGTGTGGGATGCTCTCGTTACTGAAAATACCTTGAAAGACTGACATTTTTTTCAGAGTGTACCCTAAAGTACTCTGGCATTTCCCCCTCTCTGCAAATGGAGTACAAGGCATGTTTCTTTCAGAAACTATTTTTCAAGTGACTAATTGCAGTAAATTACTGTGTCTGTAAATTCTTGGGTGTGGCACTTAACTGTACACTGTACGGAATTTTAATTTTTCCCAAAGTGCTACATGGTGTCTATTCTGACATGCGTTATACACACTGGTTTTATTATATTGAACATAAAAATTGTTTGGCAAGTTTAATAAAATCTTTTAAATGTGCCTTATCTGGTGACCTTATGTTTAATTAATTAAACTGACTCCAGTGCGCAGAATGGGAGTCCAACAATTTGACAAAACTCTGAAAGTCAGGCTAACTTAAATTGAAGATCTGTGGTGTTAGATTCTTGTAAATGAGCAAGTAATACTTTGCCCAAAAGAGTTAATAATCCAGTTCACACACTGTGTTAAGATGTGGTGCCTTTGTATTAGCATGACTTAAGTCACTGGTGGCTTACTTAATAAACCATGTTAAAAATAAACCCTGGTTTTGCACAGTGTTTGAACTGGGCCATTCTTTTTGAAAATGGCAGAGAAGTTATGACATGTGATAAGGCAGACAAAGCTTAAAATACATGCTTCTTTACTACACATAAAAATCTTACTATGAAAAATGAAACAGATTTCACCAGTTAGCTGATAACCGCAAGAACCAAATCCTGAGGATTGTAACTTACTGCATTTTTAGCCTGTTGCAAACGAAGATTACTTTTGAAAGTTACTTCACAGATTTTGCCTTCATTGGGACGAGTGACTGATTATTGGTGTTTACTGGTCTTTATATGAAGAGAATTTTATGGCAATTTTCTGCTCTCAAAAAGTTTTTTTTCTCTTCCAGGACTGGATAAATTGGCATAATTTCTCCCATTCTGGTACATGATTTATGTACTCTATCTTTTTATAGGAATATAAGTATTATAAAGAGATATATATCTCAAACTGATAAAAAGCTCTTTTTAAAAAAAATAAATTACAAATAGATTCACCTTCAGTTAGAGTAACCCCAAAGCAATATTTAGTGCTCCTGAAAATAGCTGGGATTCACCTTCCTCCTAAATAGGCCATTTTAGAAAATCAAACAAAACTTGAAATTCAGCCAGGTTCTGATGCCTGTCAAAGTTTCTAAGATTAAATAGTTGGACAATTTATGAGTGTTCCTTGAAGAGGAGGGAGGGAGGTGTATTCTCTAGGACATTATTGTGCTTTGATCATTATCTACTGCATTATGTATGTTTTACCTATCTATACCTTTCTCCCAAAAGACATTGAGACAGCAACTTAAATATTTCATAGATCATAACCAACTAGTCTTGAATGTGCTATCTCAAGGATTGTATGGAGTCATGACAGATTGGGGGCGGCCTATACATTCTATAAAAAAGTAAGGTCGCTAACTTTATCGTCGCATTTCTCCAATGTGGACTGAATCATTTTCCTATTCAAGAATCTAAGCTAAAGAGTTTGCCATGATGTTTTCTTTGGCAACTGTCTGCATGTTTCTCTCCTCAATCTACTTTTATCTCATTCACTGGGCTAGAGCGCTTTATGCAGATCCTGTCAGCACGATTTCAAAGCACAGGAAGTGCAGTTATCACTTCTTCTAATGGAGGGGTGCTAAACATTTCAAGAGGGGAAAAAACTCATAATCGCTCCTCCCTTTGCAGGCCTCTGTCCATCCCAGGAAGTTGCAGATCCCATCCCATTCATCTCTGTAGCTTGGATGTCAGGAAAACACAACAGAGAAAAGGAAACAGGAAACCCACTTAGTTGCAAAAAAGAACAGATCCTCCAAAGGGGATCCTTAAGAGGGAAGATAGGTGATTAAATGATGCCTTTTCTAACCACATCCTTCTTTCTCTTTCTTGCCTCACAATGTTTCAGATCAGGGTGTCCTTAGGAAAGTGGTAATTGTAGCCATGGGGAAACCTAAGGCTTGTGTGCGGGGGATTTCTTTATCAGAGGTTAATGGCAGGGAAACAAAGGAAGAAAAGGCCTCCGTATCCCCAAAGAGCAAAAGACTGATATTCTGCTTCACAGTGCTTTACAGCCCTCTTTAAGTGGTTTACAGAGTCAGCGTATTGCCCCCAAGAATCTGGGTCCTCATTTACCAACCTCGGAAGTATGGAAGGCTGAGTCAACCTTGAGCAGGTCAGAATCAAACAGCTGGCAGTCAGCAGAATTAGCTTGCAACACTGCATTCTAACCACTGAGCCATCAGGGGTCTTAAAGCATCTTTAATCCATACGTAGAAATGTCAATGCTAATTTTAATTATTCCTTGATATACTCATTTGAGAATTACTTCTGAAAATAAATGTTTGATACAGGTAGTCCTCAACTTACATCCATTTGTTTAGTGACCATTAGAAGTTACCATGGCACTGAAAAAAGTGACTTATGACTGTTTTTCCACACTTATGTCCATTGCAACACCCCTCCCCCCATGGTCAAAATTCAGGCACTTGGCAACTAACATGGCTGCAGCATCCCGGGGTCAAGCAACATCAGTGGGGAACCATGTGACTAACTTAACAATTTATTGATTCACTTAACAGCTATGACAAGAAAGATTGTAAGATGGAGCAAAACTCACTTAACATCTGTCTTGCTTAGAGATGGAAATTTTGGGATCAATTGTGGCCATAAATCTAGAACTACCTGTATTCAATAAGATAACAGCTAGATTGCTAGAACATAGAATAATAATTCAGTTAGAAAGGACCTTGGAGGTCTTCTAGTCCAACCCCCTGCTGGAGCAAGAGACCCTATACCAGTGATGGCAAACCTTTTAGAGACTGAGTGCCCAAACCACAACCCAAAACCCACTTATTTATCACCGGGTGCCAGGTAGGCATGGCCCACTGGGTGGGCATGGTTGTGGTGGTCATGGCAGACTGGGTGGGTGTGGCTAAGGTAGGCATGGTCACCTCAGTGTTGCTCATGGAGAGGGATGCCTATGGGGGCCGGGCAGGGTTGGGGGAGATCCAATGGGTCTCTGGCTGGTGGGGCGGTGGGCAGGAGGCTCGTCCTGCGGGGTGAGGCAAGGCGAGGCAGGGCGGGGGTGCCATTGTCGCAGGGCAAGGCGAGGCAGGGGCCAGGGTGGCTGCTACCTGACACCATCGCCCCCCGCACACAGAGGCCAGCGAGTGCATGAGGGCCGACAGTGTCTGTCAGCAGCCACAGCCTGCCGGCCCCTCGACTGACACATTCTGGGGCTCCACAGCCCACCACCAGCAGTTCAGAGAAGTGCCTACAGAGAAGGCTCTGAGTGCCGCCTCTGGCACGTGTGCCATAGGTTCGCCACCACTGCCCTATACCATTTCAGATAAATGATTGACCAGTCTCTTTCAGAAAATCTCCAGTGATGGAGCACCCACAACTTCTGAGGGCAGATTGTTATTTTGATTGATTGCTCTCACCGTTAGGAAATTTCTCCTTAGTTCTAGGTTGCTTCTCTCCTTGGTTAGTTTCCATCCATTGGTTCTCATTTTGCTAGAAAGAGCCTAATCTAGTTTTCTAATGACATAGAACATAGGATGTTGTCCTGAGTAGCATTTAAAAGGAGTATATTCCTCTTCTGGTCTTACGTATGATTACTTCAAAGTAAGCCCTATTGAACTTTGCAGACTGCAGTGCAAACCTCTAAATGCAGATATAATTGTCAAGAGAAATGGCTGTATTCATGCCTAACCTTAGGCCAGGAAAATTTTAACCTGGCTTGTTCAGCTAAGCAACTAAGTTACAACAACTGAGTTTATGCATCACATTAACCCCTCCCCCCCCAAAACCAAGCAATGTTATGACTTAATGTAATAAATAAACCTAGCCAATAACTTTAAACATCTCCACAGCACTAGGCTGTTAAATTCAGTAAAATATCTGAATTATTACCCCACACTTTGGCATGACTTAAATGATCCCTTTAATTTGAATGTGTCTTACATGGCTATAACTTGTTGACAAATGTTAAAGCAAATGTTGCATGAACAAGCTTGAAACCACCGCAATCTTTATTCCTGTGAGTTTTTCCACTTCCATTTTTTTTCCATTGTGTCATGCTATGTAAATTCTGCTTGTTATGGAAACCATATTGGCAGATTGGTGTGGGCTTTCTTCCAGCTGTGGCTTCTTTTTGAAGGGAGTTATAATTTTTATGAGGACACCCAGTATAATGGCTTGTAAAGACTTAAAGCCCTCAACCTAACATAACTTCAGTTCTCTTGCGTCCTGTTTCAAACTGCATTTATTTCCTTAAATTTCAGCTTCCACATCTAAGTACATGAGTAGAATTAAATTCTGTTGCCAGTCAAAATACTACAGAAGTCAGTACTGCTCCGTCTGCCATATGCAACAGTTCTTGGTGCTCTCTGAGCTTGGCTGTTTGCTTGGAGACATTTTATTACATCACCAGTAAGGGTGGGAATAACTCCATACTTACAACCCCACACTCCCTAGCACTGATGATGATATCTAGTTGAGTAATGAAATGTCTACAAACAAACAACCAAGCTCAGAGAGCATGAGAGGCTCCACAAATCGCTTCTGAGCTATATATATTCTTTTCTATATATAATGGTTTTCAGATTAGGAGGGACAGTTCTTTTTTCCTAAAAGCACAGTCCATAAAGTCTATTTCTTTTGAACAGTAAAATAGGTGTTTGAGTAGGTGGGGCATGTATGTTATATGAGTAGTCAGGTATCTTGTCTTGAAGAGGAAGTATTAATTTATCTGATAATTTCAAATAACAAAAATGCCGCAGATTCCAGGGATTTTTTTTCATGGAAAGAAAATACAACTCTTCTTCCATGGGATTTTCCTTAAACCTGTATTCCTAGATTTGTCTTCCTCCCATTCAGCAACTTGACTCCAGAGTTTCATGGTGACATTGTATGTAGAGAGTAGATCTGCTCATCCCTGATGCTAAACATGAATTCTGATCCCTAGTATCACATTTTCAAAAGAAGAAAAATGAGGAAAGATATTGGAGATAGCGAACAAAAAATGGAGACACAGTTTTTTAAAAGTAATCTGCGAAAGTTAATCTGAAAAAATGAGTGAAAGCAGTCCATTCAAGCCCTTAGGAACATCGTTCGTTCGTTCGTTCGTTCGTTCGTTCGTTCGTTCGTTCGTTCGTTCATTCATTCATTCATTCATTCATTCATTCATATTATTTGTTGTTTGTTTACTAAATTTATTTGTTG